AGTATATCATCTACATATATCAGTACAATTAATTTAAAATTTCCAAAATTTTTCTTATATAAGCATGGTTCTGTTTTTAGTTGCGAGAAACCACAACCTAATAATTTTGCATTTAATTAACTATTCCAAGCTTTACCGCTTTGTTTTAGTCCATATATTGCCTTATTTAATTTTAAAATTTTATTTTTATTTAAATTCAAATTTGATAATCTTTTATAATATTCTGGTATATCCATATAAATTGTTTCTTGCAAGGATGCATTTAAATAAGCAGTTACAACATCAAATTGATATAATTTTAAATTCCATTTAGCTGAAATTGCTGCTAGTATTCTCATTGATTTCATTTTTGCTACAGGGGCATATGTTTCACTAAAATTAAAGCCTTTAATTTGAGAGTAGCCTTTAGCTACGAGTCTTGCTTTTCGTTTAATCAATTTTCCACTTTCATCAGTTTTTTCAGTGAAAACCCATTTGCAGCCTACAGGTTTCATATCATCTTTACGGTCAACAATAATCCATGTGTTATTTTTCTTATGGGATTCTAATTCACGTTTTATAGCATTTTCCCATTCATCTCTACATGGACTTTTTTCAATATCTAAAATGGTTTCTGAAACGTTTTCACAAGTAATTAAAATATCTTCATCTGGAGTTTCATAGTTTTCTTCGTTTTCTTCCCTTGCATTATCCTTTTTTATGTCTAAATTAGTTTTGTTTTGTCTATATACCTTTCTTGGTCTGCCTTTTGCACCAGTTTTTATTAATTTTGGACGACCTTTAGCTCTTATGCTAATTTAGCTCTTACATTTTCTTGCATTTTTTCCTTTTCTTCAAAATTTTCTGGCTGAATTTCTGAATTTTTTGATTTAATAACTTCTGATAGTTCACTATTTTTATTATCAATCTCATTTTCATCCTTTTCATTTATTTCTAAATTTTCATTTCCTCTTTCTAAAATTGTAAAATTTGTATTATTATCTGGTTCAGTTCCTAATTCATTTACAACAACAATATCTCTACTTTTAATTACACTACGATTATTTTTGTTCCAAAGTCTATACGTTTTCGAATTTTCATCATATCCCAATAAATAATGTGGAGTTGATCTTGCTTCTAACTTGCCTTTAGATGGTATTTTATTTAATACATAAGCTAAAGATCCAAAAGATTTAAAATAAACAATGTTTGGACTTCTTTTATTCCATAATTTATATGGTATATCTCCATTCAGACTGTCAGAAGGACAACGATTCCGAATATGGTTTGCTGTTGCTATAGCTTCAGCCCATAAATATTTTGGGAGTTCAGATTGAAGCAAAAGACATCTGGCCATATCTAAAAGTGTTCGATTCTTTCTTTCTGAAACTCCATTCTGTTGAGGAGAATAAACAGCAGTTGTTTCGTGTTTTATACCATGTTCTTTTAAAAAATTACAAAACTGAGAATTAACGTACTCTGTACCATTGTCCGTTCTGAGCCTTTTTATTTTTTCTCCAATATGCAATTCCACTTTTCTTTTAAAGTCTTTAAATTTATTTAAACTTTCCGATTTTTGTTTCATAAAGTAAATTTCTGTTTACCGGGTTGAATCGTCTGTAAAAGTTATAAAATATTTCGCACCCCCCATAGAAGTAATATTTAAAGGTCCACATACATCATTATGTATAAGTTCTAGAGGTTTTCTTTTATAATAATTATTATTAGATATAAATGGGCGTCTACATTGTTTGGCCTGTAGACATATCTCACAAGATGTGGGTGCTATATTATTTATTATATTTTCCTTAATTCCGAAGACCTTTTTGTTTTTAATAATTTTAATTAAAGATTTATAATTTAAGTGACCGTATCTGTAATGCCACAATTTAAGCAAATTTTCACTCTTAGCGAAATTCACCTCTTGATATTTGTCAAAATAAATTTCATATAAATCATCTACTCTTATTGCTTTTAAAACGACCTGATTTAATTTGTTCACTACTACAGCTTTATCCGCAAAAAATTTGACGATGAAACCGTTTTTAGTTATCTTGCTTACTGATAATAAATTTTTTCTGACTTTCGGCACATACAACACATCGTTTAAATTTATAATTTGATTGTCATTAGCTTTTAATTTAATAGTTCCGTAACTCTGTATTTCTACTACAGCATCACTTGCAAGATTGATTTTAGAATTACGATTATTATTTAACGTTTGAAACATACTTTTATCTTTACAGACGTGTGATGATGCACCAGCATCTAATACCCATTTATCATTAAATTTTTCCACATAAAAAATATTCTCATTTTCAGATGCGATATCACTCTCCAAATTATTTTTGGTTTCAATATTGAAAACAGATTCAATGGCAATTCTAAATCCTTCATACTGTTCCGGCAAACTATATAATAAAAGCACTGACAGCAAATCATCGTCAACAATCATATCAATTGATTTCAATTTATCTACAAGATCTAAAAATTTACATAAGTGCTCGTTTACCGAATTATT